CGCAGGAGGAGGCAGAACACAATTTCTGAGCACTTTTATAGGTCATTTGTAAAAAAAAAAAAAAAAGAGCTGCAACTCATTAACCCTTTTAACAAGCACCAGTGGTCAGTCATTACAAACTCATGCTTCACAGACAGACACTGTTAAAAACCACTAAATGTATTTAAACGTGTGGGGGGGCTTTTCAGAGATACCAATTATTTCTGCTGAGTTTTGGGGAGTTGTGTTGAAGTGATACACAAGACATCTAGAAAATAGTCTTTGTTTTGAATATTTCACTCAGTGTAAACATCGTATAGCTTCAGTGAAGTGTGTGTGTGTGTGTGTGTTTGTTTTGTAGGTCCGCTGGGTGCAGCACTGTGTAACGCGTATGATGCCCGGTTGGTGGTGATGTCGGGGGGCTGTCTCGCTGGCCTCGGCCTCATACTTGCCTCGCAGGCCACCTGTCTCGTTCACCTCTACCTTACTATGGGTGTCATTTCAGGTAACATGTCTTACAACAACAATGAAAGCAGGTCATCTTTTGTCTACCTAGTTAACTGTTAACCTGGTAAATTGCAGGAGATTAAAGTGACCTCTCTCACAGTGGTTCCCCCCCCCCCCTCTCCTCCAGGTTTGGGCTGGGGGCTCGTCTTCACTCCCATGGTAGCTACAGTCATGGCTAACTTCACACGCCGGCGCACCCTGGCGTTGGGACTGGCGTTCTCAAGCATCGGACTCTCCTCCTTTGCTTTCAACCCGCTCTTCCAGCTGCTGGTGGAGAAGTACGCCTGGCGAGGAGCCCTTCTGATCCTGGGGGGCCTCAGCCTCAACATTGTACCCTGTGGGGCTCTCATCCGTCCACAGCGACGCTCTAAAGCTCCAGCAAAAGTAGGTCAGGACTCCACTTTGAAAAGTGTTTGAAGAATTGCACCCACCATCGTCATTCCTGACACAGTATGTTCCTGACACATGAAGGGAAGCTGCTCCATTTTCCACAGAGAATATAACCAACCAACATTATACTGTAAGCTCACAATCACATAATCACACTACTAATCTAGTGTGTGTACCCAAGAAAGTCCCTGAAAAGGTCTGTATATTTATATACTATCACTTTAAAAAAGAAGTCATTCATGCTGTGACTGTCTTTCTACTTTCAGACATGATATCAGTCTACATACAAAAAGACTTAACTTTAACATATAGTGTATAAGTAGAAGGAAAGGTTGGTAAATTTGAGTTGCTTCAAGTGAATGCTAAAGAGAGTTATAGGACTCATTCCTGCAGCGCTCTATTGAGCTAGATAAATGCTTTTATTTTGGAATAAAATATGGAAACATTAATTTCAGCATTTCCCTCTCTTCCTCCTCTCAGGTGGACTCAGCGAGCAGACCATCGTGTGCTTCAGTTATGCACAGAGTCTCCTCGTACCTGGAGCTGTCGCTGCTCTTCGAGAGGCCTTATGTCACCTACACCTTGGGTATCACTCTTCTCAACGTTGGCTACTTTGTGCCGTATTTCCACCTTGTTGCCCACAGCCGCCATGTCGGCTTTTCGGAGTACCAAGCTGCTTTTGTCATGTCAGCTGCCGGCGCGTCAGACATTTTGGGCCGCGTAGCGTCAGGCTGGTTCTCGGACCTGGGTCACTTTAGGCTGATTCATTTGCTGAGCATGTGGACAACGTTGGGGGGAGTGTTCATCATGCTGCTGCCTGTGAGCTCGTTGTCAGGTTCCTACTCTGCACTGATGGTGATCAGTCTCCTCTACGGCTTCTGCTCCGGGGCGTTGACCTCTGTGGTCTTCGCCGTGGTGCCCATGATTGTGGGTGTGGAGCGAATGATGGGGGGACTCGGGCTGCTGCAACTCATCGAGAGCGGCGCTGGACTGCTGGGGACACCTCTGTCAGGTACGAATACATCGAGGAAACAGACTGGGATAGTGCAGGATTATATCTCCTAATGTCTAAGGTCATGTCACCTTGTTTCATGTTATCTAAAGTGACCTAGGTCAGTCTATAGACACAAGTTAACACACTGAAGCTGAAGGTAGTCAAATATTAATGCGACATACACTCCGAACCACACGCAGCTACAGATTACAGCCAACATAGAACTGAATATCTTAAAGAGTCTGAACACAAACGTATAATATAATTAACACAAAACACTAACCTGCAGTGACTTATGTGAGATACCACCATCTAAAAAATGATTTACACTCACAACAGTGGAAAGGATTTCCCATAAAAATGGTACACAGTGGGTCTGTGGCGAGGTTATTATAGTGAACTCAAACCAAACTAAACCTTGGTGTCTAAAAAACATTTTAGTTAACTGAAATAAAATAAAAACTATATGTAAGAAACAATATTGCTTACTTACAAAACTAACATTAAAATATACAGGTATATATACATGTGTCATGTCAAAACAAGCATGAGGAGGCATTGGTAAGTTGACATTGAGTCAACTTCTTAAATCTTGCCTCTGACAAATACCAAAAACTAAACTGAAACAAGCAAACACACTCTGAAAACTAACTGAAACTAAAACGATGAATGAAATAAAGATGAAAACAAATGGAAACTGCAAAAATATAATAACTGGTCTGTGGTTTATCAAGGTGAGTGGTTATTTAACTCACTCCGTCATGTAGGAAATTATTTCAGACTGTGTTAATGATGTTTAATGAGCAGCACCAGTTTTTCTTTTCTTCCCCACCAAAGATTTATCTTGTACTTTACATGTCATTTGGTTCGATCTTTCTAACCTGAACCTGGACATCAGACTCACAGCAAACATGTTGTAGCGTAGCCATATAAACAGAGCTTCATTAAACACACGATTCTGCACTGATTACTTTAGAGAGAAGCCACAAGTCTTTTGGGTACATTGCAGTGAGGAATTATGGACATGTTACCATTATGGGCCTCATTTAGATGCTGAATATTTTCTCTTTTTTCTGCCTCTCCCAAGGGTTTCTCAAGGACGTCACAGGCAACTACGTCGTTTCCTTCATGGTGGCGGGCAGTTTCCTTATTCTTGGTACTCTGACCATGGCCACTCTGCCTCACTACTTCTCCTGCACAGATCCACCGCCTCCTCAAAGACGTTCCCCTGACGACAAAGATAAGGGTTTACATTCAGAGTCGGAACAGATCAACAGTTTGCCGTCTGACACGAATCACAGTGGAGTTTAAGGATGATCTAACAAGGCTCAGCAATCCTCAAGACTGTGGAAGTTCAGGGTTCAAGAGCCTTGTTAATACGCTTCAGTCGAGCCAAGATAACCTGAAGACACCGTCAGTGAGTAGTGCGTTTGCGTTATACCTCAAGATATTGAGACCCAAAGTGAAGAAAGAAGCTTCTAAAATAAAGGGGCCAGTGAGTTCCTCACTCTGTTACACATCATCACCTCAGTTTAATGTTTATGCCAGTGCAAGGACACACTGGGCATTTAAATACTTTATTTGCAATGTACAGCGATGTGCTGATTTACATTCACAGTAGGATGGGAAGCAGGAGAGGAAATGTGAGTTTTTTTATTTTTATTGTTATTATTTTTACACATGCCATCAAGTTTCAGCATACTTGACTAAGAAACTAAGAAGCATAAAACGGTTTCTTGGTTCATGTGAATATAAAATGTGAATTCTGCTGCTGTAAGTTTAACCAACATATCTAAATTTTGCACGTACATGATTCATCTTTAACTTCCTTATTTTAACTATATTCTCTTAAGGAGGCACAGGTAGCACAATAGATACGACCGATCAGCGTCACTGCACCTAAATCTGACTTTTTCATGTCAAGGCCCCCCTCGATAGATGCACATTAGACCATGGACCCCCAATTTGAGAGGATTTTGTTTGAAGTTACCCCCTCTGAGTAACTTATTTTAAATTTTAGCTTTTAAGATTATAACGTTTTATAGTCAATGAATGATCTACGTGGGGTCACTATAAACTTCAGTGTTCCAACTTCCAAAAAAATGTGATAAAAGTTTAAATATTCGATTCCTTTGTTGGGGACCCCCTACAACCCACCCAAAGAGCCCTGTTGGTCCCCAGACCTCAGTTTGAAAACCACTGATTAATTCAAATTAAAAATATTTAAGAATATGCACTATGTAAAGACAATATCAGTTTATCAATAACTAAAGACAGAGCTTCTAGTAATGAAGTCAGAAGTCATTGCTGCTGTTATTGTGCTTTATTGCTGTCTAATCTAAAATCTCACGATAACAAACTAACTGTGTAATTTATGGATGCAGATTCATAAATGAAGGAAACTGCATGTATTAATGATTAGCAGCACCCCTCTGTGCTGCTCACTGATTTATTATGAGCACAGCAACAGACACCAGCAACTCTCTCTCAGCCTCAGGACTAACCCTAACCCTAACCGGTGCATTATGTTGCCGGGCAGGAACACAAGTGCATTTTCTGATCATACAAATCATTGCTTGCACAAGCACTTTGTACTTTTCTAATCCATAAATCAAGTCTGTGTTTGTAAATGAGAGACGTTCTCCCTCTGAGAACAGCTGAAGAAACACCAGGTTCATAGGACAGAGACAACAGGGTCACTGTGACCCGCTGCGTCCTGGCAGACTGATGCCATGTGACCTACAGTATGTCGCTTCATTGTGTGGCAGCTACTGAATACTGGAGCTCCTGTAGTTATTTGAAGGTGGAAAATGTTCGTCTTAAACAGCTTTTCTTGGCAGTCTGTGATTGAAACCTGTTAACACTCTAGTCTTAAACCTAGCACTCACACATCGGGGCTGCAACCTGACACTGTTATATGTTGAAACTGTGGTATTTTGTACTCAATCTTGATTAAAAAGCAATGTATTTTGTTTTAATGTGCCTTTACTTTCGCTAGTTTGTGTTTTCACTGATAACCTACAACTATCATAAAAGGATGGCGCCCTCTGCTGGGTATTTGTTCCGACAGCACAACATACTATCATTAAAAAGATGATGAGACTTGTTTAAACTTAAACACACTTCAAAGTAAGTTTAAAAAAGTAAGTGGTATTGTTTTTTATTTGTTCATGCTACAAATCTCAAGTACCTCATACAGTTTAACAAAACAGATATGAACAAATGTCCCCACATGTAAAAATCTGTATACATTATAACCGAATGGAAGACAGTTAACATAAAAGGTGTGTTTGCCAGAATTAGGTCCATTTCTAAAAAACATTTTCACTTCTTTATCATGTAACAATTCAATAGAAATGGCTAAGAAACTTTAAAACAGCCCTGTTGAGCTAAAGAAAAAAAAAACAGATTTACAGGATTTAATTAGAAAATCTTGGCAAAGTGACGGCGTTACCCTCTGCTACATATAAAGACGCCTCGTGCTGGTCTCATAAAGCTGTTCCCAGTGTTTCCACTTGGACACAATTGTTCTGGTCTGACGTGTTCACACAAAGAATTCACTGTTTGAAGCGTTCATCCCCTCTGAAGTCAACACCAGCTGAGCTATGACTGAACATGTGGCAGGTAGCCAGGGAAAATATGTGTGTGTGTGTCTGCATGCTTGTGAGTTGGATACTGGCATGTTTTCTGTGTGTGTGTGTGTGTAGGTTAAGGTATGTGTGAGATGTGGCATTGTACAGCAGGTTGGAGAGGAGGCAACAGCTGGTTAAGTTTTGGGGTCTGCACTGCGGCGTTTGAGCTTTTCGGGGTTGTTTGAGGCCATGTGTGAAAAGTCTCTGAAGATGTCCTGGTAGGTTTCATCACCTGGAGAAGAGCAGAGAAGAAGAACCTTTAAAGCGTTAAGTTTTTTTAAAGAGTATAACTCTTAAATGCTGTTAAGCTTAAGAATCAGTTTAATCAAATTTATGCCATCTCTCCTGGATCGTTATTCCTGGCTTTCTGTCTTTGAGCACATCCTCTGTTTTAATGTGACACAGCTGTGTTTGAACCATAACATCTGGCGTCAAAAGCTACATCATTTCTGAGAGGACGGTTTTAATAGCTGCAGCTAAACCAACTCTTTCCTGAACGAGCCCTAAAGCAAGAAGCATGCAACTGAACAATAAACAAACATCAGCATGCACATGCACTTTACCTCTTAGTTTGCAGTAGGTGGCACACTGCACAAGCAGTTGAGACCAGCCGGACATCTCAGCGGGCAGAAGGCAAAGGCACATGAGTGCACACGACAAAAGACACACAGTGATAAAGCACAGCACGTCAAATACTGACCAGCAGTTGTTTCAAGCAGACAAAAGCGTCACGTTTCCATTCCTTCATGAGTGAAACCGTGATTGTAAACTGAAACAGCTTACGCGACAAACTTAAACAAAAGCCGTGGCGTCGACTTTAAAAAAGGACAATCATGAAAGAATGGACTTTGCAGCTTTAAAAAGGAGCCAAAATGACAAATAAACAATGCAAACAGAACCCACTGCTAACCTCAAGAGCTACAGCACAAAGCTCTTGGACCTGGCTGGCAGCATGAAATTCTGATAAATACAAACACCTAATATGTAACAGAGTTCAAACTGCGTCACTATTCACAGAATAGTTGGAGAAGATCGTCCTTGAGAACCAAACCCAACATTGGATTTAGCTTACATAACTGGACTGAAAAAAGGACAGCCCATCACACATCAGATACAAGATAAATCTGATAAAGCCAGAACACTGTACATACTGTATATAAAAATATCCCATATGTACAATATAAGAGATAGGCCTGACATAGCTCTATTTATTTACATTTTCTTAAACCTCAGTTATACAACAGAAACATTGGAAACACCCACGTGTAACAGTCTCTATTGACAAGGTATTTGGAGATTTTGTGGGTTTCAAAGTGCAGCATGATGTGCGTGTGTAATTCAAAGTGCAAGGCAGACTCCAACAATGTCCCTTCTTTGTTTCACAAGACATGTTCCTGTCTTCACCGATCAGTAAATCTGTTTTCATTTAAGTCTTTCAGACTCTGTACCCTGTGTTCTGGCTCTTTTTAATCTTAGAAATGATGATGCATGTTTCCTTGAATGACATGTTGAAGGCCAGGATAATGTTTTCTGCAGACACCGCAGATGAACATCACATTACACTGCAAAACCAGTGATTTCTGATGCTCAAAAAATTAAAAATCCTTTTAGCTTACAACCAAAAACAAGCTCATTCCAGTCTCACTGTCTGTTTCTTGTCCCTGGCTGATTTTTATCCCCATTAATCATTCTGCCCCCCCAGAGCCCAGCCACTTATATGGTTCTTTATAGCCTGCAGGCTCTTCCTGGTGTGGGCCAGCCCACCTCCAGTCCCGCCCTGTAAACCCCCAGATCCCTGCCCCCCTGAGTGACCTGGTTGGCCAAACGCTCCGTCCATCTCCCGCATCTCCTTGTTCATCTTGGCGATCCGCAGCCTGAAATGGAGAAGATCGGTTAGAAGAGCTGCTGTTGGTAACTTACAAGCTCACATAAGAGGGTTTTTTTCTTGTCTCAAATACTTACAAAGTGACGATGTCAGCGTTGGCGTTGTCCACAGCAATAGTTATGGGGTCTTTCTGGTTCTTGTCTCTGGCGTTGTAGTCTGCTCCTCGCTTCAAGAAGAGACAAACCAACCTGGAACAGCAAAGACACACATAAAGAGTGTGAGAGCGTGTGTGTGTGTGTGTGCATAGGATAACGTTGACAGAAACCTGACCCCCTGACAGCCAGATAACCCCTGCTTTATGTCGCCAGTTTCCACCACAGGAATCTTTCCAGATGCTCAGAAATCAAGAAATCTAGGGGTTTACCTGGGTTTTTACTTAAGGCACAGTGCTTCTCAGTCATACCTTTATCACCTCTGCATCTGTTCATTACATCCATTCAAACATGAGACAAACATTTTAATTCATCAATCTGCTTAATTGTCACAGTTCTTCTAGATTCTTTGTTGGGCTTTTATTGTCTTTATTAGTGAGAAGAGGGAGAGAGAGGAGGAGAGGAGGAGAGAGATAAGAGAAGATGAACCTGAGAGAGACGAGATGAAGAAAAGAGAGGAGATGGGAAGGAACAGACAAGAAACGAGAGAAAGTATGAAGAGAGAGTGAGTGAGAAGGAGATGATGAGGAAAGAGAGACGAGAGAGGATTTGAGAGAGAAGAGACGATGATAGAGAGATTTTAGGAGAGAGAGAAGACGAGAGAGGAGAACCCTGGGAAGAACAGGAGAAACCAGCAGCAAACGGGGCCACAGGTTGGACTCAAACCCGGCCCACAGGAGCTCAGCATTTTGTACATAGGGCGCATGTTCAACCAGGTGAGCCACTACAGTTCCTCAAATGAAGTGCAAACAGGAAAGCACAAAGATCTCTTAAGATTTATACTTAAATTGTGACAAACGCTGCCCCGAACTTGTGCTCCACAGCTGAAGTGTTCAATCTGACCCTGACCATACAAGATTACAGCCAGATTCTGCATTGACTTTACTGATAAGCAGAACAGGTACAGGTAGGACTCAGTGAAATAATGGCCTCTGTGTTATCTGCATTTTCTTGCTTTCAGTTTGCCAAATAAACAACCGAGTTCATTTGGCAAACGCTGCTCAGTAGAAACGTTTCTGTAAAGCTACAATGGGCAACTTTGTACTGCTTTGAAATATCAACTGCACAAAGCTGCAAAAAGCCACAGACTCTTTTGTATTTTGTTTCTATTCATTCCTTTGTGCTGAGGTTTCCCACTATACCCAACACAGGAATGCCATTTGGGCAAACTGGGTAAATCTATTTAGCTTGGTTAATGGTTTTGGGCACAGTGCCTGAAGGCTTAAGTAGGTTTTCTTTGAGTGCGTGTATATAAAGTCATCTGTTTACTTTACTGCATTGCAAACCGACCTGTGTCTCATTTTGTTTCTGTGATTTTGTTTGCATTGTTCGTATGTGTTTATTTTTGTATTCTATTGTTACGTATCAGATTGCTCGTTCTTGTGTCTGATAGACTTCACTGCCGGTGGCCCTTCGAACAAGACGTTCACCTTTTTGTCACATTTTTTCACGCCGTGTCACCTCCTGTTTTTGTCAGTGTGGGGGGGCAATTTGTCTATGAAATGCTGATGTGTGGCAGCATGTGGGTGTCCTACCCAGTGTGACCCAGGATGGTGGCGTGGTGCAGCGGTCCCCTCCCGTTGCTGTCCGCCTGGTTGACGTTAGCGCTGTTCTGCAGCAGGAACTCGCAGGCTGCCAGAGCGTTCTGATGATGAAACAGGAACATGTGAGCTTCCATTTACATATTTTTACCTATGTGAAACTCTCTGAACGTCTTCTTACTATCACCTTGTCTAAACAGGTTTACCACAACAAGACTAAATGTATAAAGCTCCACTAGTGAACCTGGAAGGCTGCAAAGTTCTGGTTCTTCAAGCCTTACCAGTCATGGGGCTAAATATGTAAAATTTATCCTGAGGGTTGTTACTGCTTGTAAGCAAATTTCATGACAATTACAATATAATTTGAGTGCAAGATTTAAATAACATTATGCTACAAGAAAGCTCATTTAGTATCCAAAATATCTAGTTCAACCTCTGGGGAGCATGAATGTGTTCGATCTTTGGTTTTGCTTGTGCACAAAAAAAAAAAAATTTTGGCCGGGTGTTGATGCTAGAGGAATGACCAAAGGGTGAAGAAGAATCTTTAGGATTCATCCTCTTGCGGCCTTGAATATTCTTGGAAATCCAGCTCGAGATACCCTGTCATTGCCCGAAACTTTAGCCTGATGGTGGTGCTAACAAAAGGGGTCTGTAGGTTACTAAAAGTCATCATGATTCATCCTCTGGGGACCAACAATATTAACATCAAATGTAATGCTGTCCTCACTGCTGTGACGGCCTGTATCAGCGGCGTGCTGGAGTCCTCGGCCACGTTGACCCAGTTGACGTCGGCCCCGTGGGCCAAAGCGTCGGCCATGACAGGGAAGTTCTGCAGGGCTGCCGAGCGGTACAGCAGCGCCCCAGGGTGAAGTCCGCTCAGGTCCTCTTCTTCCTCGTCCTCGTCTGAGGGGAGCACAGGGTTAACCTATTTGTTTATGACTGTTTCCTTCTTCCTCCTGTAGGGGCTCACTTTAATAGATTTAACTTGCTATGACACAATGTTGTAGTTTGGCTGTCCATGTTAAACACATTGTACAAGCTTGTCTTTGTGGTCGGGTCAAATTTCTGCATTTGTGTGTGTTTTATCTCACCTTTGTGGAAGCCTGTATTGTTCTTTTGGAGAAGGTCACTCGGGCTCAGCCCTAAGGAAAAGAGAGAGAGAGAGAAACGACTACTGGTTTACCCTGCTGACTGCAACGGCACACAACAAATAGAGGCCTAGGCTCTTAGGATTATAAACTTTTGCTGGATCACCAAGATTGGGGATTGTGTTTCTGTTTGGTTGATGTCAGCAGGAGTAAGTGAGTGATGAGCAAGACAACAAGCAAGCAACCAGCTGAGTTATTAGACCTTCAAAAAGGCCCACTGGTTTCCATCTATCAGTCCACATTCCTGTCTCCAGTGGTTACCTGTGACCCGAGGTAGAGTGGCTCGGTTGGGTTTGGGTTTGAGCGGCGGTCGCTGTACAGTCCGGTCCTGCGTGGTCGCTCGGTTCCTCCTGGCACTGGATCTCCTCAGCACGGGGTTCCTGCCAGTCTCAGGCAGCTTTTGGATAAACTTCTTTTCAACGTACTTTGATTTGATCCACGACTCCTTGTCTCCTCTGAGGGACAGAAACGACAGGTTAGAAAGAAAAAGAAGAGATGGAAGGGATTCGTATTTCTTCAGCAATCTTCTCTCACAACGTGAGACAAAACAAAAAAGAAGCGGACATGCAAGGATGCAGTAGTCAGTATGATTCTGGCTTTACTTGTTCTCAGTTTGACTCCACAACGTGCTTGTGCAGCTGTGAGACAAGAATGCAACACGTGTCCCCGAAGCGCTAAGTGTCTTTTAATGAAGTCATAAATTCGGTTAACAAGACGTCTATTCAGGACTCAAAGTGGCTCTTTTCTACAACAAAAAAGTGCTACAGTTTTCCAAAAGGGAGTAGGACTAAAAAAGTAATCAAATGACGTAAGCCCGGACAAGACAAGACTGAAAAGCTCATGCTGCATAAAAGCATGCAGCCTCACGGCAGATTTCCGGAGCAGACGTTAACCATCTGTATCGTGTACCTGTGGCACTTCCTGTCTGCTGCGACCCAACAGAGAGGAGAGAAGAGGAAGTCAAAAAATAATCTAAAAGAGAGTAGCAGACCGCTTATATGATCATCTGTAAACCACGTAGATCTTTGCAGAGTTCTTCAAACTCAGCTGCCGAACCACTGATCTCACTCACTCATGAGCCATGTGCAGAGCTGGAGCCGATCCACTAATACTCATCAATCAATGCGCAAGTGTACCGACCGCAGGCAGAGTATGTGTAATGTCCACAATACGACAGAAGGAGGAGATGAAGAGTGTGTTTCTGTTTATTTCTGATGATATCTGAGGGCTTTGTTGGATCAACAGTCTGACATGTGATGCTGGAAAATCTTTATCATTTGGAAGTTCCTCCAAAGTTTTGGGTTTTTCCTTCAGCAAGATTTTCCAACAGTATGGCCTAGATGTTTAAAGTGGGCGTGGCCTAATTAATTTCCTCTTAATGCACAAGTGTCAGTCAAACCATCATGGGTTCCCCACATGTGTGGTTTACCATCTATGGCAGGCCATCTCAGATATGTAACACCTAATGCCTACTACAGTGCATCAGTTGCTCTTTTTACTCACAAGGTGCACTGATTTTACAAACAAAAACAAAACTGACATCTGACTTTAACAAAGCAGCATGACCGACAGACTGCCAATACATCAATAAATTGACATGTGTGGTATGGACGTTTTAAAGTGTTTGATGGACACCCTTACAGTCAGCATATTGTGATTATTATTATTATTATTGTTATAATTTAGGCCACATCTTCATTTGAGATATTTTAGTACTCCACCAGTTTAGTGTGCAATGCTAAACTGATGCTAAACTTGGAGTACAAAGTTAGGAGACTTGCGAGAAACACACTGAAATAAGAAAAGTCAAAATCGAAACAGCAGACAAAGAGATAACGCAGACTCTTAAGATACCCTGATGACATAACCAGGGTCAATTCTCCTCTAGAATCACATAAGATAGCATACAACTGTTATTTGTATACTATATTACTGAACTCAATGTGGCCCTTTAATGTGTGTGTTGGTTAGTGCTTGTACCTGGGACTGGAGGGGTGCGGTTTCTTGATGGTGATCTCATCGATCCGGGCCTCGTAGATCCTGTTGATTACTGTGTTTCCCAATTCACACATCAACTAAAGGAAGCGAAGGAAATAAGAAAAATATTTCAGTGCCTGTTGCTCTATTTTAGAGAGTTTATTTAAAGTAAACAATTACATAATGCATTGCATAATCATTGTATTCAGTGGAAGGCAATAATGAGGCTGTGTAGCTGCTGTTGCAGTATAAACGGTTAAATGTACACCTTTAATTGAGCCTATGGTCCAGGAGTCAAGAGTGAGGGAGCGTTTTGGAGAATGGACTCCCCAGGCTCCTGTGGAGAAGGAAACGAAACATTAAAGATGAGGTTTTAGCCAAAGTGTGTGTGTGTTGGTGTGTCGTGTGTTGTGTGTGTGTGTGTGTGTGTTCGTGCGTGGCGTGCGTGCGTTACCTGTGTATTCCTTGAGCAGTACGGATCAAAGCGT